TTCTATCTTTGTTATTAATTCCTTTTTATTTTGACCAAATTATCACCCTGGGAGAAATTCTCCCTAGCCTTGAGCTGGACCAGCTTATTGGCTGGGAATAGAGCTGAAAAGCTCCAGCCTGGAATATTTTTCAGGCTGTAATTTTCTTACTTTCTCAATATGTGTCCCACACCAGGTGGTTGGGGAAACTGTGCTAAACTTATGCTTTACTCTTTCTTGTCAGGTTGTCTGTCGCTGTGCTAACTTGAAGAGGTGACCATTTGCTGTGAGTTAATAATGTTCATGCTCTCTCCTATGAATCTCTCCTCCTTTTCCTTCTATGAACCAACAACACAAAAGGAACACACTGTGCAAGATTTTCTCCTTGCAGTTAATAGTACCAAGCACTCATTTTGTTGAGAAAAACACTCTTTAAAACATACTACAATAAAAAAAGTAAATGCTCTGCTATGTTACCATTGTTGTGTGCTTAATCCTGAAAAAGAGAGAACTTTGCCCCAAACAGCTTACAATTTGTTTGGGATCCAGCCAGTGTATTTAATTGGAATTAAATTTCCAATTAGGAAAGGAAAATGAAGGTAGAATAAAGGAAACATCAGTAATATGGACAAATAATGTAAAATTACTGTAACCCTCTACAGCCCATGTTTAAGATGCAGTGTTATTGCAGGAGTAATCTTGGGGGATCTGAAAGAACCAAATGTTAAGAACTTTCCTTGAGGAAGATGATGCATTTCTACATGTGGAAAAATGGTGTAAGGCGTGGTGTAGTAACCAGTAGTGGCAGCTTTTTTTTCTGTATGTCTTAGGCCTTAGACTGTCAGAACATTTCATGCTGTAGAGTACTGGCACCTTCTGCTAAATTTTGTCCTCCATAGCCTATCCTACCTGGCTTCTTGTGGTTTAAGGGTAGGGGGAAGGAGGCAGGTATAAAGTGGAAAATAACACTGTCTAGGGGCAAAAGAAGGTCCCTGATGTATTACAAGAGTTTTATTTCTGCTTTCTGTCTTGTTTCTATAGAAAAGTATACACTGTTTCTTAGAAGTCCCTGTGTTATGGAGCTGTGCTGGATTTTGAAGGTCAGTGTTGCTGGACTGTGTGGATATCAAAACATTACTGCTACTTAAGTGTCATATCTTTTCCTGCTGTAACTACTGTTTGGCTCATGTAATGATCCACAGTTCAGATATACAGTTTAGGAAAGATCAGCAAAAGGTTCCATTTTGAGAATATGTCTAAGACAGGGTTACAGGCAACAAAAATGTAGTTATTAATGCATTTTTTTCTCATAAAAGTAAGATTTATTTTTCCACATGGAAATTGTTATTATGATACTGTTTCACTGGAATTTTCTAGGAGTGCAAATGGTTTTCTTAATAGTATCCTGTTAAAAAAGATCCATCATCTCAACAACAAACAATATGGCTATATCTGGCTCTTCAAGTTGTATTATACAGTGTTTCCAGGAGTCATGTTCTCTCTTCTCCTGTCTGAGGCAGATACGACTACATAAATATAAAACTGAAATCTACAATTTTGCATTTGAGGGCATCAGTACATAAAGGGTCAATCTACAGTAGCAAAATTGTCCTTGGAAAGAATGAACTGTTCACAGAATTTCTGCTGGAGTGTTTGTTGAACTGAGAGGAAAACCAAAAGTTCATGCCTACACAACTTCAGGGTGAAAATGTTGGATACCACAAGGACCTTGCTATTGTTGGTTTTCACACAGTTTTTAGAAAAACACTCACTCAACTTCAGTCTCAGCCAGTGCTTTAAATTCTCTTATTGCTGGAGATTATATTTTTACTTGCTCTTATATAGTTCACTATCTTCCATTTAAATTGCATCCCTTTTAGTGAAGGTGGCTTTTATCATCAGTTAAATTAAACTCAATAAAACTTGAAATATGTTATAGTCTGGGAGTCTGTTATGAGGTCCATTTGTGTTAGACACATATTGTTCTAAAAAACCAAAGAGATGACCCAGGTTTCAGAGTTACACTCTGAGCCCACTGCCAGAGATCCCTTTCTATGGACACTGCAGAGCTGCCAAGGGCATTTTTGATACAGGATGTTCTGCTGATGTTTATTGTGTAAACATACTCGTTTTCTAACAAGAGTGTTCCCACCTCATCCACTCATTCCCTAATTTCACCTTCCCATGTGCCACATGCTGTATTTTAGTTTGTTAGCTGCAGATAGGTCTGGATATTCTAAAAGAATGTACTTCTCTGTACTGTTTGACTTTACATAGAAGTTTTTGTATTAATGAACTGTAGCCATCTTTTCATAATAATAGATGACAGCAAAAAAAAAAAAAAAAACCTATTCTACTTGGATTGTAAAAAAAAAATTAACCAAAATTAGAAAAAGCAAACTTGCCCCACCCAGCAAGTAGGCAAGTGTTTATGAAAATCAGTAGCTCAAGTGTTACTAGTTACTAGGTATGACTAGGTATGATTGTGAGTTCAGTGCTGAGAAAGACTGTGGAAAAAAATGCTTTTAAGATATAATAAAATTTAGAAAATTAGTTATTTTTTTCAGCAATTGCTGGAGATAGCAATAAGACACTAGTTAGAATGAGAAAGTTAGTTTGTTATGACTTCATTTAAATTTTAAATGAAAAAAATGGTGGTAGCAAGCTAGTTACAAAACCGACTTCTTCCTTCCCTTCCTTCATTTATGCTCCTCAGTTGTTTGGCTAATTCTGCTTTTCCCTCCCACTATCAAAGAATGCAACCAAGTTTTGTCTGCACAGAAAGCAAATACTGTGAGTAACGCAGCCTGTTGACATTAGTAAGTGGGAAATATGTGATGAAATGCTAAACTTAGGAAAAATAAGGAATAAAGTGAGAGGAGTTTAGTCTTCTTTTTTTTCCTTCTCTATTCTAGGGTTTTTTTTGGAGTTGAGGTTGATTTCTGTCTGTTGATAAACCTTCCATAACTGAAAAAGTACAAGGAGCTGGTATGGTAAAGTCTTAAGGTAAGAAACTTTATAGAATACGTGACTTCCCAGCAGGAATTCTGAGTACATGTAATGCAAAACCTATAAAATATAAGCTCTGTGCAAGAAACTTATTCACTGTGCTGAGGATAGTTTTATGCTGGGTACTCTTTAAGATAATGTTTCTTGGAGAGGTTGCTGGAAAAGAAGCACTAACAGTGCCTTTACCACACTCAGCCTCACAGGTAGATGCTTCTGTCCAGAAAGCAAACAAGGAGGCTTTTAAGACTGTTGGTTTTTAAAATTTACCAAAAAGTTTAGTCTGATTCAGTATTATTTGGGAATTCTCTGTATTATTACATTCTTGGAAAATGCTATATAGTAGAATACAAAGAAAAAAAAAGAGGACCTGCTAGCTAGCACAAGCATATTCCTAACTAGGAGTTATTTGTCTCAATCTGGGCCTAAACCATATAATTTTCAGTTTTATTCTTTGGGCAGTATATAACGAAAACCTAGAATTAAAAGTGGCTTTTAAAAGTATTGTTATATTAGAGACTATTAGACAACAGTTGAGAGATAAAGATGCAATTAGTAACAATACAGTAATTCAGCCTGCAGAGCTCCTTGTTACTTTACAGCAAACAATCACCCAGAGCTATGGGTTCCTAGGCTTATTGTGGACAGGGCATGCAAATAAAATTATTAGTAACAATTACTTAGCAGGTCCCTGCATCCTGTTAGAATTCAAGCAAACTGCATCCGAACTGCTTAATTTTGCCTTGTTTTATATTGATTGAGAGACACAGGAAATACGAGACCAGTAAAATACACAATAGAATTGTTAATTTAAAAAATCTCATCAAACCTGGAACCAAAGAAACCATGGGTATTTTCTATGCCTTCTCTGAGTAACACCACCCGTGGGTCACTGCCTTTGCTCTGATAATAGCTGTTATGCCAAACAGGATGTGTGGGGAATTTTTTTTATGTTAGGTTCTGGGAATTTTATTTTTTTCCTTCCCTAACTCTGGAAATCCAGGATGCTTCCTCCTGTTGAAATAGATGGAGATGGACATGCTGTCCAAATGGGGAAAATTCTTCTCTGTCCTTTTGAGGTGTTCTTTAAGAAGGAACAGTTCCTCCCTGTTAGCCCACACTCCAAATGTTAGATGTATAAATAAAAACTGGCTGTGTACTCCCTCATCAGTTTTATTTTGAGATTTTTTTTTTCTTCCTTTCAGAACATTGGATTTATTTAAGTTATTTTTCCATAATTGTTACCCATAAAAAGTCTGGAGGAAATTCAGTCATTCCAAAACTAGAAAAGTGTCAATATTTACTGTTTGACAAATTTGTTATGGCTGCTTGGAAATACTAACATACCTCAGTTCCTAGGTCTGCAGTCTGCTGTCCAACTGGATATTTCTTTGAGTTTATTTTAGACCCCAGAAATAATTGGACCTTTAGGAACCTCAGGCTGAACTTTACCAGTGTCTTGAGATGGTGTAGAAATAAATGGAACAGTTTCAATAAGATGCACACGTATCTTCTCAAATTCTTTCCTTTTGATGGACACGTGCTTGTTAAACTACTGCCTTGCCTTCGTTTTAAGGACTTTTGTTTCTCATTGCTCTTCCCTTAAATAAGATAACAAATAAAGTTAATCATGAGCAACTAAGTATTCATGGATGTTTTTACTTAATGAGAGCGTTTTGCCTGCATTCCTTTGGGGGTAAGAATTTGTATGATAATGACTGCTTTATTGATTTGAATATAAAAATAAATAAATAAAGTTACAATTGTTTCTCCATCTTAGTTGGAATTCAGAATTGCTTTTTTTTGGTTTAGTATCTGTATGGCAGTGTAACTTGTGTATTACCTTCTGTAATTTTTTATTTTATCAATTACTGTATTTTGACAGTTTATCAAAAGCTGTATGGTAGTATACAAATCAAACTCAATTTAAAGATTGAATACTCTTTTTATTTTCAGAGTTGGTGGTAGTTTGTTGTAACTGTGCTATGATTCTTGCTTTTTACAGTTTGTTTTTTACAAAGAGCAAAAGGAAGCGTACAAAACAGAGAAGAAATCAAAAAGACCTTAAATAGACCAGTTATTTTCAATATAAATTAGCTAAATTCTTAGCCTATGAGATATCCCTAACTACCCCTAATGTTTCTTTACCCATTTGATGCTGTTATAGTGAAATGACAAGTCCCAAAGTACTGGCAGAGTCGTAACAGCAGAAGCCTTGTGCAACTTTGGAAGAACTGGGTTTGTCCAGACTGCAAGGCAGCAAGAGCTGACATATGAGCATTACAGCAACTTTTCATGCATTTGAAAGCTTGCAAAAGGGTTGATGATTTTTTGACTGCAGAAGGAAGAGTTTTTACTGGTTTCAAAGACCAGATGACTTAGTGGCATTTTAGGAAAAGCTTTCTCACAAGATTTGTTAGACGTTGGAACAGATTGCCAAGAGACTCTTAATTGCTGACAAAGGGAAAGTTTATAAAGTTTATACCTTAGTATCTCTCAGGGTGAACCATGTGACAAAGTGAAAGAAGTGAGCTCTGTCCAGTTCCAGTGTTTTTATTTCATAGATGCTGTGGGGTTAAGTGACCTTTCCGTAAATTAATTCTTGGAACTGATGTTTTCAAGGTGTTTGTGTGTTATGAATACTGGAAGGTGACAGGCATGTTAGTAAATGGGTTGATGCCAACACAGGCTGCTGCCAAAAAGAGAGGTGTCTTAGCTGCCCTTTTCAGGCTGGTTTTCAATTCAGTGGGGTGACAAATATGCACAGCTTAGATGAAGGCAAATCTGTCCCTTTTGCAGCAGCAGCTTCTCGGTGTGACCATGGAACAGGAGCTTAAGGCTCTGCAGCCAAGGGATGGTCACTGGGGTGAGTGTCCTGCATGTCCTACATGTCCTGACCTAGGGCCTTGTTCAGAAAGAACAGGCTGAAAGAGCAGCACAATGCAAGACAGCTGATTGTCTTCTATAGCAAGCTATCACCTATTATATAGCCTTAAATGGAAGTGTTAGGTATTTTGTTCTGTCCACTAGGCTTTAGCAAACATGCAAATTAAGCAACTCCAATTTTCAATTAAAAAAAATGATAGCTGGAGAGAGGTAACCCACTAGTGATGAAGTCAGACAGCGTACGTGTCCTGCTTCAAGTGGGACTTTGCTTCCAGCTCTGTATCATTTGCAAAATTTACAAGTGATGGTGAGAAAATGAGTACAGAATTCAAAATAATCACAGTAAAATATTATCCCCGTGTCCCTCTGCTCTAGTGGTGAAAAATTCATACTGCCAGCAAGAATCATATTTTTCAGGGGGGAGAAAGTCTAAAGGAGGTGGAAGAGGAGAAATCTTCCATTTGTAATTGGGTCTAGCAGAGATGGAGTTCGTTTTCCCCACAGCAGCCCCCAGAGCTGTGCTGTGCATTGGCAGCTGTAAAGGTGCCCATAAGACACCAGCGTTTTGGCTGCTGCTGAGCACACAGCACTGTCACTCCATCATCTTCCCCTCACCAGGAGGGTGGGGGTGGGCAAAATTCTGGGAGGGGACATAGCTAGGACAGCTGACCCACTGACCAAGGGATATTCCATACCATGTGATGCCTGCTGAGATACAGAAGCTAAGGAAAAGGAGGAGGGAGGGGGGACATTTGTTATTTACAGTGTTTATCCTCCAGAGCAACCACTGTGTGTGCAGAAGCCCTGCTTCCTGGGAAGTGGCAAGACATCACTCACTGATGGGAAGTATATAATAAAATCTTTGGGTTTTTTCCTTTGCTTGTGTGCACACACTTTTTTTCTTCTTTTGCTTTAGTAGCCTGCCTTCTCTGGATCTGCAAGGGTTTTTTCATCTTATTTTGCTGAGGAGGTGTGTGATAGAGCTACTTGGTGGGCACGTGGCATCCAGCCAAGGTCAACCCACCAGTAATTTGCAATGTTAGAGGGCAAATGTAAACCCAATGTAGATAAAATAGTACTTTTCACATTAAACTTGTAGGGATTAAGCATGACACTGAAAAATTAGGTAATCAGAGACTGGACCACACAATGCAACATAAACTGCAGCCAGCTCACACTTCATGGAGTTTCAGAAAAAAAGTCTTCATTTTCTTACTCTTGTGTCACCTTGTTCCCACTTCTGTGTACTTGCTGATTCAGTTTAAAACCTTTTTCCTTTAAAGGCCTCAAAATTCCTGTAATATACGTCAGCTGCCAGGTGTCTCCTAAGTCACAGATATTCCTGCAGAGCCCAGCAGAAGCTCAGTGTGTACTTATTCCTCTGGCACAGTGGCTTTGAGGAATAATGAAACGCTACTCTGCATCCCAGTTTTCCGAACCTCACTCTTGGTTGTTAGTGGTTGTGTAAATTCAGTGTCAAAGGCTGCATTTACAATTTTGTCAGAGAATTTAGAATCTCTTCAGTTTTGGCCTGTGCTGCTGAAGCTAGCAGGAACTAAATAACCTGGGGTCTTTGTATAGGTGGTTGTTAGGGATACTTAGATGTGTAAAGATGCAAATAAATGCTTCCATGGGCTCTTTTAAATCCCAACATTTCAGTGAGAGTTAGTGGCCTTCTTGCAGCTTCAGGCACTTGATTTTTTTTCTCTCCTAACCTGCCTCTCTTTGGCAGCAAATACAGGTGTCCAGCATACAGATTAAAAGAGGCTTCTGTGACATAGAATTGCCTGGCAGCTGGGCTGGCCCATGGGGGCTCTTGGAGTTCCCCAGGTGCCCGGCTGTGTGAGGGACTGCTGGCACCACGGTGCTCAGGGACTCCTCTGTAGCTCCTGCTGCAATGAAATTGTCACCTGCCTTCACACCTGGAGTCTCACAGTCTTCCCTTAAAAATGCTGCAGGAGGCTGGTGGCAGGGAGATGAGGCTTTTCAGGCAGTGTTGTGTCACAGTCAGCATTTGGTCACAACTGTGTGGCTGAATCGGATCATGTGCGTGGCTGTGCTGGAGCTGTCTGGTTCCTGGCTGTGCTGTGGTCCTGCCTTACCCAGGAGAGAACAAATTGGGCAGTGCCAGAATTCTGTGGGAGCAGTGGTAGTGGCTAAAAATCCCAGGTGACACACGCATGCCATCGTGTTTGCCATACTTTATTTGCTCACACTGTGAAAAATGGCTTTTCCTCAAGCACATGAACATGCAGAAATATATTCATGTCTCCAATATGCCTTGAGCTGCGGAGCCTGAAGGTGTTGCACTTAATGAAGCATCACAGCAAGTAAATGCTAGTGCCAGCAAGAAAAACTATGCCTTTTAAATTTAAAAGATCAGAGTATTTTCCATTTACTGATAGATTGGTACGGGGGAAGAAGAAAGTCGATTAAGCCCTGAATGAAAACTTGATCTCAGTTGAATCTCAAAGAGTTCAAGACCTGTCAAAGGTTATATTTAAACAGTTTGTCTCGCTGCTTCCACGGAGCTGTTAATCAGTTTCACAACATAACACTAAGTAGCCTTCTAACAGAAATCATCGTAGGGAAGCGTGAAGCGCGACCCGGGATGAGGGCAGCGAGCAAAGGCTGCGGAGCTTCGCGGCGACCCACCCGGGGTGGGATGTGGCGGTGCCTCCCGCCGCCGAGAGAGCGGCTGCGGGGCTTTGTGAGCGCTCTTAGAGCACTCCGCGTTTCTCATCCCCGGCGAGGGGTCGGCCACGGCGGCAGCCGCCCCTGAGCGGAAGGGGAAGGAGGGCTGCGGAAGGCGCGGACGGGCCGGGTCGGGCCGAGCGCTGCGGGGCCCGCAGCTGGCGGCGCGGCGCGGCGCGGGCCCCAGACGATGGCGCTGCAGCCCCGGCGTTGCGGCGCGGCGGCGGCCGGCGGGGGTCGCTGCGGGGCGGTCCGGCGGCGGCGGCGGCGGCGCGGGGCTGCGGTGCGCGGGAGGCGGCGGCGGCGGTGCCGCACAGCCGCTGGTGCCGGTCCCGGCGGAGGATGAGGCGCGCGGGGCGGGCGGGCGGCGGCGCGGCAGAGCGCGGGTCGGCGCGGCCCTGAGCGGAGCCTCCGCGCCGCGCTGCGCTCCCGCACAGCGACTATGGCCGGGGGAAGGCGAGGGCTGGTGGCGCCTCAGAACACGTTCCTGGAGAACATCGTGCGAAGGTCTAACGGTAAGGGGGCACCGGCGGCGAGCGCTCGCCGGCCGCAGGGAGCCCGCCGCGTCCTCGACGGGGACAGCGCCGGGCGGGGGGCTCCGAGCCCCGGCCGCTGCCGGCGCATCCCGGTGCCGGTGCCGGAGCCGGTGCCGGCTGCGTCTCCAAGTGCTGCCGAGAGCCCCCGGCTCGGGCTGCAGGTGCGGCGGCACGGCGGGAGCCCAGCCAGCCCCGCCGTGCCCGCGGCGGGCCGGGGTCCGCGCCCCGGGGGCGAGCGGGGGCAGCGCCCGGGCCGGCCGGGGGCTCGGGGTGTCCGGAGAGCGGCGGCGGCGGCTCCGGACCGGAGGAGGTGCGGGGATTCAAGATGGTCCCTGGGCAGGGAGAGCCCGGTGCGGGGGCATCGGCCAGGGCTGCCCGCCCAGGGTGGAAGGGAAGGTTTGCCATAAGTGAGGAGAGAGTTTGCTATTTTAAAGGCTGAGGGCAGATATTTCTTTTTTTTTTTCCTAGTGCACTGTAACCAGGTCTGTCTCTTGGAAAACTGTGGAGTGGAAAATGCCTCGAATTTCACAATTGCATGCAAATATGTATTAATGCTATCCAGATTCTTTCACTTAGGCACTTACCAAAAGCTGCTCCCTCTGTAAGCCGGCGACCATGCAAGCGTTCATGGATTTGTTTAACCTAGGCATGTGCATTTCTTTTAAAGCCCCGAGCCTAAGTTGTGCCATTTTTAATGCTTCTACTGACTTCAATGGGGTTACTTCAGGGATTAGGAACTTGTAGTATGGTTGAGAATACGCAGGATCAAGCTCCTTTTGAAGACAACATGAGTTAATTAATTAAAAACATAGTCCGTTTATTCTGATAAGGCAAAGACAATTAACCCCCTTGATAAGCAGCTAAAAACTCAAATGATCCCAAGAATGATTTTCAAGTTTTTTTAATTAGGCAGTGTTATTGGAGAACTAGCCTTTGATAAGACCATATTTTGTCATAAAATTATGTTCTTTTTATAGGGTGTTTCTCTCTGCAACTTTCTTGTAGAAGGGAGGAGGCTGGAGGCTGCATTCCTGAAAAAATTACTCTCCAGTCTTACAGTGAATCGTGCCCTCTTGTTTTTTTTATGTCTTTTAAAATGAATGTTACATGTCATCACATTCAGGCTGCTTCTCTAATCTTCCAACAACAGTTATTGAAGGTTTTTCTCAAAACTGTCTCGACTTTGTAGATTATTTTCTTCATTAAAAACCAATTTCCTCTTTTGGCTTTCAGTGCCAAAGCCTCAATGCAATAAATCAATTGAGGCTTGGAGATGGGGGGAATCATGCAGCAGAAGCTATGCTCTGTTTTTTCCTCTCTTTCCCCATTATTTAGAAGGTGTCATAACAGAGCATGGTGCTAGACAGCACAGGTAGAATGACAGCACTCCATTTTCCAATACTCAGCGAGTCCTGATGACTGGAATCAATACAAGTTTTTAGATTAAGTTTGGTAAGAAATGGTGCACAGTTCAGACATGCTAGGATAAGCTTAGGGAAGCGACTCAGGTTTAGAAGCCTATTTCTTCTGTGATGTGCCTTCAAGTTTTTCCTGGACCCAATCCAGCTTTGCTGCAAATGTGGTGCTGTCACATACCAATGTTGGATGAATCAGGTTTTCTAACCTTTGTCTGTTTGAAGAGACAAGGATAGACTCCTTTCTCTCGTGCTGAGGCAGGGCTGTGCTGACCAGCACAGGGGCAGTATGGAAACATGCCAGCTCCTTGTTGCCTGTCTCATCTTGTCCTGCCTACTTGGCCATTGAGATGATTTGGGATGCCCACAGGATGAGTGCTTAAATGGCCCCATAAAGCTTGAGGTTTGGCTCCCCTTTCTTGGTTTTGTTCAATTGGGTGGTAATGTGACCCACAATGAAACTATCTGTGCCATTTGGGATTTGCCAAATAAACCTCGGGCTTGTTGTCAAGCTTGTATTTGCTGGCACATGCAAGCAAGTTGAGTAGTGCCAACGGATATTGAGTTGATAGAGATATAGGGATATTCCTAATCTGGGGAGGATTTGCTTTGAAAATAGAGGAATTTTGTCATTGAACAGAAATAATGTACTAAGTGCTTCATGTGAAGGAACTTGTGCATGATATGTGTATCATCAGTCATGGTTGGACTGAGGAACGTGTGTTTTGGGGCAGGGGATGTTAACTCAGTGAAAGTGGCTGTATGGTGATAGCAAAGGAGTGGGCATGCAGCCTCTTTTGTAGGCATTGCTCTAAGGACAGCACTTTTCACTCCATTATTTTACCTGTAGTTTTAACAAGGAATTCTTTGGACAGCCTTTCATGTTAGATGTGGGACTGGTGAGCTGATGCACAATCCATGGCCAAAGGTAGTAGCAGTGTATGTAGGCATGCTAATTCAGTTTTTTTTCCATTAGGGTTAAAATTTGGCTCATGTTCATAGCACACCTTCTGCAGCAAGACTCACCTCCGACTCCTTTGGTCTGAATCGTCTGCTTCAGAGTTACTAGGAATGAGAGCTTCTTCACAGGCTGCAAATCAACTGAGAGATTCTCATGCACTAAATGCCAGCTGCAAGAGCTGTGCTAGGGTCAGAGCTGCAGAGCATTTCCTTCCCACACACTGGAGTAAAGAGAGGATGGGATGGCCTTAGCATCACACACACTGGAAATAATATGTAATGTGTTATCTTCCTAGACCTGTGACCTTGTCTGGTCCTCTGTGATTTCTTCTAACACAAAGAACTTCTGGATGAAGTGTGAGCTTCAGGCTTGTCCCCCTTTGAAATGAGGGACACCGTAATTGTTATAGTCTTGTATTTAATGTTTAAAATCTGTGTTTCTATACTAGCCATGCAGAGCTAGAAAAATAAATGTTGCATGCAGTGGTTGGTTGACAAAAATTTCTTTGAAGCATTGAAATATTTAAAGACCAGAACACCCAGTGGGACAGAAAATGAGCCCATGCTGTAACACAGTGCAGTATATAAAGAATCACTAGCCCCTGATGGTTACTGCTAATGTGATATTAATGTTTTTCTTGGTAATGCAATACATCCACAGTATACAAGCACTGTAATAATAACTGTAATAATAACAGTTATAAACCTGGATCATGGCCAGGGCACCCAATTCAACTGGTGCAGTTAATTGTAGAGGATAGTGCTTATTTATGATATTCCAATGCTTTATCAATATCTGGAGACAAAAATAGTTTTCGATTTATGTAAATGCCAGGTAAATTCTTCAGTCCTTCCTTGGTCAAAATTCTCATTGAGGTGTGTGATAATTGTGCATATGTAAGGATGGCAAAAGATTTATACAAAAAAAAGTATAAATCCTGTGTTTAAATGGCTTTGGAATTTCAATGGAAGTCACAGGTACTTTTTTGATTTATGGACAAAATAAGGAGGTTGGAAAAAAGGTAAATTAGAAGGCATAAGGCTTGTGTGAATTTAATTTTCCTTTCACAAAATCCCCTGGGAACACACTAAGGAGACATCAGTTATGGAAGCAAACCTGTATCTTTTGGTGGAGAATGCAGAGAGTTCCCTGCAGAGGGAAAGAAAAAGTACCTTCAGACATAGATCTTGAATATAACAGACATTTGCATGATTTATGGCATGGCTTTCATCACACGCTATAAAGTCCCAGTACAATAAACATTTTGCATCCTGTGCATGCTAACCTTATACCATCATCTGAGACCTAGGAGAGAAATTAACTTTATTGTAAACACTTCTGAAACTGAAAAGACTGGTTTTGTGTTCAGCCACAGTGAAATGTAAAGGAAACTTAATGGAGAGTGAGGAATGAAAACAGCAGACCTTCAGAAAGTGCAAGAGGACAGCTTGTAGGTTCTGTGTTAAGGACATTTTCATGAAGTTAATGAAACAAAGGGTTTTGTTGCTTCCTGATCTTCCTTCTTTCCCATGTTAACAACTGTGGAGGCACATATGTTTTCATCCATGCTTTTCATACAGTTGGTCAGAACATTGAAATACCTATTTGCTATTGACAATCTTTTTTTCTCAGTATCACTGGAATTTAATGTAAAATGTCTTTTTTTTTTTTCCTCCTGGCTTTTACTAGGCCAGAAGTCTGGTTTTGAATATCCACCTTTATGCATTTAGAAATTTATGACCTGATTTCGTTAAAATTACTTTTATAGATAGTAAGGGAAAAAAAATGTACAGCACAGAGATGACAGGTAATGTGCTTTAAAATTAACGTTCTGAAAGCTCAAGAAGTTCTCCTGTGATAATTCAATGTATCAATCCAGTTTTACATTAAATCCTAGAACAAGATTGTAAAACAAATCTTAATGAAACCCATTTGGAGAATTGGTTAATGCATTTTTGTAACTCATAGATAAAAGTGAGTGGGGAGTTAGGTCTTGTCTCAAATACTTTTAAGGCTATAATCAGTAAATCAAATGGCTGCTTTGAACTAAAGAAAGACTCTTAATCGATGCAACTAAAGTATGCTTTTTTCTGGATTAGTGTTCAGATCATATGGGATGGGAAAAACAAACCCTCTGACCAGCTGAATGATGACGTCTCACTGCTGAACAGTGCTTTTGTCCTTTAATAAGAGTGGTGCAATCTCTGTCTCTTACCAACTGACGAACTTTCTCATTTTTCTGAAAATCATCTAATTATCTCACTCTAATGTCACGTGTGTGTAAATATTGTGGGATTTGTGTTCTAGTGTTTATTTTGGGGTTTTTTTTGGAGGGGTTGTGTTAGATTTTTTTTTAATTTTTTTTTTAATTTTTTTTTTAGTTTCTCAGTATGGACACTGCTTCAAGGATAGGTGACAAACCATGCTATCCATAAAATACATATGACACCTTTGGTGCAATTTTGGTGCCATTTCAGCTGTTCTTATTCTGTTATTCTACACTAATTTGTTTTATTTAAAAAAAATATAGATAATTGTGAAGATTTTATAGCTACAAGTGTTAGAACAATGCATAATTTTCAATTTAAACTTTTCTCATGGTA